ATGACTTCTATTCATTAACAGCTAATTAAATATTCACATGCATGCCTCACTCGAGCCCCCCACTTCCCCTTTTTGTCTTGGTCTCTTATTTCATTGGTGGTCTGCTGCACAGTACGCCGTTCTTCTTGAAGACGGCAGTAAAGTAAATTGCATTGTGCCACTGCCTGTTTGAGATACGGGTTCTGCAAAGTTGGCACCTAGTCTATAATATGACATGAAAGAAATAATTTTTCATTGATGAGATAATTGAAAATCAAATCACCAGCAATTATGTTTTACTGCTGACCATGAAAATTGCTTATGTACTTATTCTGAATGAGTTGAATTAGTTTAAAATTAAGAATACAGAGTTTTCAAGTCCCCCCACATTTTTCCACATGTGTAATTCTAATAAACGTTTGAAATAAAATTATAATATTGAGAAACAAATCACTCAAAGGCAGATTTGAGAGCGACTTGATTTGTAAAGCAGCTGGCTTGTCACATGGGCTTCAATCAATAGCTTGAACTCACATTGCTACCTCTGTAGGACAGAATTAATTAAACAGAAGCAAGAGAAGCCGGTCACTTTTATCACATATAAATCAGCATGAATTTTCAGTGAATCCACATGAACTATCTGTGAGTGCTAGTCAAAAGAAGAGGGAGAGGAAAACCTACATCTAAAAAACCTTATGTGTAATTTCAGTGAATATATGGTCCATTTAACTTTAGGTGTTGCAACAAGTTAGAGAGCACACCATTCTGTCTAATTACACCTTAAGGCCCTCATCATGGCGACAGCTGGCTTTATGTCACACTATAAATCTAAATCTTTTAAAATGCAACACTCAGGAAATAAAAGTAGCAGATGAGTTTTTATTTGATTCCATATAATGATAATCATGTTTAACATCCATGCTTGTTTGGATTATGTGCATCATATAACAAGAACAACACTGTGGCCATCCATTCACTCACATTTCTTACTTCATTTCCTTTGACTATTCAAAATGATTGAGGTCCAAGTTCATTTTCTAACTCCAGTTCATTAAAGCAGACACCAGTTATGCATAACGGTAACATCGCTCGGACCAGTGAAGCTCCGAGATCGCATTCTGCATTTTGCCAGTGGTGAAAAGTGGTCGACAGAACACACAACAGATTTGCAAATCAGAGGTTTGCCCAATGTCTGATCTGTGTTGTTAAACTCAGATCATGTTCAGACATCATCAAACAGCCCAGTGTCACCAGCCCATCTCTCATTAATCCATCACTGTAACACAGACGTTACCTTCGATTGTCTGAATGGATCCAATAATTCAAACAGCGACACATTAGTCTGCAAATGAACAGGTCTCACTTACTCAAACTGACTGACGCCCTCACTGTGAAATTGTGCTAATTGTCATATACTGTCAACAGACAATTTTCTCCTGCGTCTCTTGGGTGTGTAATTACGTTGAGAGTCAGTGAAAGATATCAATGTTCAGTGTAATGAAAACAGGAGGTCCAGGCAGTTGTATGAGGCTGTTTTGATTAGATGTCCATGTAACACTGATACCAATATAGACACTTATTTATTCACCTCATCAAAATATTTTACATTTTTGCTCACAAACTTCATACTAGAGCTTATTTCATCTCATGTGGTGATACTTAATATGTTTTCAAGGCGGGATTTCCCAGTTAATGGGTGAATATCAGATTTTAAAAGCTGCCTAATGACCTATCCACTGCCACATATAGAGCGACAAGGATGAGGCAACGTGGTAAGCCAGTTTTTATTCACCTTTCCAGCTCTCCCTATCACTCAGCGAGGGAGGCTCAGAGCACTAGCCTCCTTTTCCACTCCACTAGAGCTTATCACTGTTGCAGCTGAGGGCCAGGACCCGGCAGCATGGCGGCAGCTGAGACCGGGGGCATGACGGGGAACAGGGGAGAGGGAGCAGGCGAGCATCTACAGAGGTGAAGGCTGCAGCAGCATCTCGCTGGAGGACGCTGATGGATGAACAGTACTCCACAGGATCAATCAGGCACTCACAGCCACAGCAGATCATCTTTCTCCAGGAGCACGTTACTGCTGCTGCACCACTTCGTCCCTGCCCCCCATAAACCACATCGCCCCCTCTGCCTATATGGCACCTTTTCACCATATATATATTTATATAAAGAGAGGCAGGGAGAAAGGAGAGAGGGAGGAAACATGAGAGAGTGTGTAAGAGAAGGGTTGGGAGGAGGGTGTGTAGGAGGACGTATTGATTGTTTTCACTGTGATATAATTGCAATTAAAGGTTGCAAACAGCCCAGTGGATCAGTTTCTCTGTCACCAGGCAGGACACATGACAGCTTTGATGCATCCCTTCACACCTCCTCAGATAGCAGGGAAGAGTGCTAATGCTGCGAGTCCCTGTAGACTTTATATGGATGAGTGCCATGTTGCACAGATATTTAGCACTGCAACTCCACACACATTAAAGATTTTTACTGACATAATAACACCACTGCCCTAAAGAGAAGATAGAAAGAAGGAGCAGTGTTTCTGTTGATTTACGTCAGGGAGAGACTAATTTCTGTGTTGGAGATCAACAGCCAAAAAAATAAAAAGCTTCATGAGAAACAGATGAGTCCATGACAGTTTCCCTTCTGTCGAACTCCAGTCACTGCTAAAAGATAACTCTGAGTGAATCAAGGTTGTACTTAAATGAAGGGAAAGAAGTGCAATTGCAAAAAAGTTTTTCTTCACGTTCTAAATCAAATTATTAAATGTCTGCTCTGCTTAAATATATATAATATAATATATCCTTCATCCAAGTGCCTGTACCAAGGAGGTTACGTTTTCACCCCTGTCCATTTGTTAGTTAGCAAGACTGCGTAGAAACTACTAGATGGATGACCAGGAAAACTAGGTGGAAGAAAGTGTGGGCCAGGGAAGAACATATTGAATTTTGGTGTGCATCCAGAACAAGGCACGGGTGAAAAAAATCAACAGTGTACAAATACCATATACTGATACAAGACAAATATTTACACTGTCCTTCTGCTCAGCAGCAGAGCAGCTTTTACTCATTATATAGGCATCTGCAAATATCTAAGATTTTCTCATGCAGTTCCCAAAGCACCCTCATTTTCTGTTTTACTCACCGTGCCTCAGAAAACGTCTTTAATGTAAACAGCTCCTCACACCAGTAACAGAGCAAACCCAGAATGAATGAATGTATATTATCAATGTTAGCTTTTTCTCTCACTACAGTGTGATCTGCTCAAACAGTGTCACATTGACATAATCAAAAGTTACCCGGAGATAACCCTCCCTGACTCCCTATCTCATACCCAATCACTGCATCCCATTAATTTTTTTTTTTGAATCTCAATTTCCTGCCTGCGTATGTGAGCCATCTTTATGGGAACTAAATCGTCTGTTCATTAACGAGAGGAAGCTGTATCAAGAACAAACATCTTTAATTAACACAACCCCAGCACTTCCTGTCTTTGATCTCCCCATTTGAATCATGCCTCTGCAGGAAAAGGTTGGGGAGGTGCAGGGCTGCGTGAGCAGTTCGGAGGGGACGAGGATGCACTGTGTGAAAATAGCTAAAATGTGGAGCCCCTGTTGATCGGGAAGTCTTGCAGCATAAGAACCTTTTTTCCCCTGTGTGTCAGGGGGCCAGCTCAATTACCAGACAGCCAAGCTATCTTAATAAGTGCCCGATAAGGCAATAATCCTAAATCCATACAGTTTTAATGACTTTCTGTCTAATTGAGGACTATTTTATAAAAGACGGACATATCACAGGCCTTCCCATTGTCCAGAAAGCTATAAATGCCTAAATGACTTAAATATACATGAATATTAAAATTTTACTCATCATCAAGTTATTCATCGCTGATTTTATCGTTCAGTGTCAGAGAGGTCAGAGAAATCTTCTTGAACTCAGTTCTCACACTGGATTGAAATCTCACCAGTTGAGAATGTAGATTTTGACTTTAAATGTTTCTACTTATCTCATTGAAATGAGACACTAAAATCTGCATCACATTTACAAGACTGGTTAAAGTTGTAAGGACGAGATGTCATGTGTTGGTCTCCTGAGCAGTGCACATCCTGTATGTGACCAAATTGAGATTCTGTGTTCTTGTTGCCCCCTCTAGTGTTGAGCTGTAACACTGTCCTGTTTTTCATCTCTGCATAAATAATTAATTTTTTGACTAGTCCAAATTATAAACTACTATTTAATTACTACTAAACTACTTTTCTATAAAAAACAAAACAAAGGAACATTATCTTATAAAACCATGTATGTAATTATAACCTAATGATATAAATTACTTATATAAAAATATCTTTATATAATTACATTTATGATAAATCTCTTTTTAGAGAAATTGTTAAAACCGCTGCAGTGACTATGCTTTAGTTTTTTTTAGTCAGACTAATAATGTCAACAGGCTCAAATATATAGATGATGTCACGAGGAACAAGAAGAAGGTGTTTTACTGTAACACTGAAGGAAACAAATATTATTATATGTTATAGCATGTGTTGTTGTTTCAATTTGTAGAAGCTTTTTCATGTCTCAATCAGGTTGAATCATTGAGTATATTGTAAATTGTAAATACCCACAAAAACTTTGCATTTCATCAGAATACTCATTTCAATGCACATACACAGTCTCCACTGAAAGGTCATTTTAAGAGCTGTGGGTTTCATTGTGATCTTTGCTACTCTTCTGACAAAAAAAATGTTTTTTTCCCCATCCTCTAAAATAATGTAGTGGAGTTTCATCAACTAAAATATTTTTATAAAACCCTTGAGTCACTCTGACTTGTCGTATTCAAATAAACCTCTCAGTCTGTGTGTTATTCTTCATTCCAGAGCATTTTCCACTGGTCAAAGCACGAGGTGTGTGGTAATCGACTGAGATAACACTGTGTGAGATGGACCACAGGTGCAAACTTGGCTTTTGTCACTGGGGAAAGAGCTTGGACGGTTTCCCGCACTAGCTGAAGGTCGACTTGAGGTATAAAAGAAGGAGAGTGACGTTCCTCTGCTGCAGAAACATTCAGGCAAATTTGCAGACATGCTCAGGTTTCTGGTTTTGACGAGTCTCGCAGCCGTGGGTAAGAAAGTGACAGCACACACACTGCGCTGTATATCCATTCATTATTGATCTGTCTCTGCCTCATTCGCTCTTTTTCTCCTGTCATCCAGTCACTCATCTGTTTTAACTTGTAGATGATCTGATCTACCAGTTCACTCAGGCCACTCTAATTTCTCCTTTCTCTTGTCGGTGGAAAGTAAAAAACATTGTGAGGTTTGTAGGAAACCACATATAAATCACACCAATGCTTTTATTTTTATTTCACCAGTGCTGGCGGAGCTCCAGCCCCAGCCCAGGTATCTGGAGGACAGCTTGGAAAGAGTCGTGGGAGGCGAGGTGGCCAGACCCAACTCCTGGCCCTGGCAGGTAAACTACTGCAACACAAAGTCAAGAGTTGCTTCCATGTTTAAATGCAGATTCATGAATTACTCATTGTCATCCATACACTGCTGACACATCCATATACTTCTTCTGCATCCAGATCTCTCTTCAGTACAGATCTGGCAGCAAATACTACCACACATGTGGAGGGACCCTGATCGAGAGAGGCTGGGTTATGACTGCTGCTCACTGCGTGGACAGGTAACAGAATGATAAACCAGACTTACTGTTCTTTGGTTGTGTGAGTTTTAAATGTATTTATATTCATTTATTTTGATTATTTTGCTTTTAGTAGAAAATGCATTGCTTACTCTTATCTTAAGTCACCAGCATGAGAGCACTTCTCACATTCTCCTTTATAACTGGCTCTCACCAGAGGGGAGTCATTTTATTAATTAGAAAGTCAAGTTACACAAACATAGACATCAGTTAATGGTGTTTTGTGGTCTTTAATACATTCTGTCATTAAATTCATGAGGCTCTAACTGTCCTTTGAGTCACAAATGTATAATCAATGACTCTCAATAACGTGTTTCCCTGTGTTTTTTTTAAAACACATTACAGCAACAGGATGTGGCGTGTTGTTATGGGTGAACATGACCTCTACAGCAACAGTGGCAGAGAGCAGATCATGGATGTCATCCAAGTTTTCATCCATCCTGGATGGGACTCCAGCAATGTCGGTAACGGGTGAGAATTGCAATTCTTTCACCTGGAAAAAGGCTCAATGTGCTTTTGTTCATTTTAAAAAAAGAGGTATGCATTACTTTCAAAGAAGTCCTGACCTTGGTGAAACAATTTTTGAAGGGAATCAAATTCTCAAACATATTCAATCACACGTGTCTGAAAATGATATTGGGAAACAAACGTCACCTCCAGAAAGTATTTGTCTAAAGACATATCGACCTCCCTGGTTGCAAAGTTGTGATTGGTTCCTATTGGTTGATCCATGCATCACTTCAAGCTTTCCATGCTGATGTGAGGGCATATTTATTTTGACCCTCAGGTGGGATATTGCTCTCCTGCGTATCTCCTCTGACGCCACCCTGAACTCTTACGTCCAGCTGGGCTCGCTGCCTCCCTCCGGCCAGATCCTGCCTCACAACAACCTCTGCTACGTCACCGGATGGGGACGCACCTCCAGTGAGTTGACTGCACGATCCCTCTGGGCACCTGTCAGTTTTGAAGGGTGCATTCTTACCATGAAGCTCAACTTGACTTATATTTCACATGTCTCCATTTCCAGCTGGTGGCAACCTGTCTGCACAGCTCAAACAGGCCTATCTTCCTGTGGTCGATTACAAGACCTGCTCCAGCAGCAGCTGGTGGGGCAGCACTATCAAGACCACCATGGTGTGCGGTGGCGGAGGTGCTGAGGCTGGATGCAATGTGAGTCCTCTTCTGTGAGAGAGAGGAAAAAAACAAATCCTAGCTTCAGTCAACTTTGCCTCATTTTTATTTGTATACACTGAATCTATATATATAATATTCCATTCATCCTTATTCCTGTCAGGGTGACTCTGGTGGTCCTCTGAACTGCCTGGTTAATGGAAAATACTACGTCCATGGTATTGCCAGCTTTGTGTCTGGCTATGGATGCAATACTCCCAAGAAGCCCACCGTCTTCACGCGCGTGTCCGCCTACATTGAATGGATGGACTCGGTCAGTATGAATGATTTGTACAAAGCGATGTAATATCCATTTAAATAGCTTGTTATTTTATGGCACATCATTCAGATCATGTAAGATGTCTGATCACTTCTGCTTTTTTTCCAGATCATGGCGTAAACAAGAGTCCTCACATGTTGCAGGACACAGAACATGTTCAACCCTGTTTTCATCCTCTGTGTCTCTGCACTTGTTTCGCCTCCTTTCACAAAAATAAAGTTGTTTTAAATTGTGTGTGATGAAAAGACTCTTGTTTTTATCAGTACGTTTTTGCAACCACAGCTGTGACACGGGGACACGCTGTCACACACTATCATGAGCTGTGATAAAGTCTGAGACCGATGACAGGTGCTTTTCTGAGCTCAGCAGAGGGGCCGCATCAAATGAAAGTCAGCTCAGGATATAAAAGAATCAGACGTGCATTTAGAAACACACAGGCACTGCAGCGATGCTCCTGTTCCTGCTGTTTACCACTCTAACAGCCACAGGTAAGGTGAGGCCGCAAAGCAAACACTTTACAGATGAAAACATCTTTGTTTGTCTTTAGGTGTAATAATAAACACAAGGCGATATATATAGTGATGATTCAATGAGTTTTCCCGTGTGTCTCAGTGCTGTCTGAGTCAGAGCTTGGGTCTAACTTCGCACAGAGCAGTGCTGCAGGAAGAGTTGTGGGAGGTGAGGAGGTGCCCTCACACTCCTCGTGGTCCTGGCAGGTACAGTATTACACAGTAAAGCAGAACAAAGTGTACAGGTGCAGAATCCAGTTCTTCAATAAAATATAAAGTGAGCTTCTGTGGATTTAAACACTAACTGTTTCCATTCTTAATGCGAAACTCAGCTAAGCTAACCTGGCTGTGTTCTCTTACTCAGCGTACAGATGAAACAATGGTATCAAGCCACTCATCCACCTTTTGGCAAGAAAATAAATATGGGTATCTCATAAGTACCTTATATTTAAATCCTCTACCAATAAAACTGTTTAAAGATCAATATCTGTGTTTTAAACTATTTTGTTTCCATCTTCAGATTTTGAGGAACTGATGAATGTATGATGTCTATACACCGTCATCCACCGAAATCCTTTTCTTATTTATTTAAACCCAGCCAATCTTATCCCAACGGTATCTTACCCGAAAACTTCTGATTCAGCGTTTTTCCCACTCAGAACATCATCAAGTTCCGTCTGTGACAGAAACAGGACAAATACACTGACGAGCAGCCGCTGCAGCAGCAACACGACCCTGTGTTTTTGAGATGATGCAAATATATCTTTATCTGTGTGCCGAGAGCCAGCAGCTGAGTAAACACTGACATTTGTTTTGCAGCATTCTGCCTGTTGTTAGTTTTGAAATAAAGGTTTTATTCACTTTTTGGGTTCAACACAATCCTCTCTGATTGGTGTTTAATAAATCGGAGGTTTGCATTGCCCTTCCTCCTGCCACTGTGGTGCTTTTGTGACATTTTAGAGGGAAAAGGCTGAGGAACTACCAGAGGGAACAGTCGATGCATCTGTCGACAGTGGGAACCGGACTCATCCTATAATCAGAGAAACATACAAACAGACTATTTCCTTCTTTTCCCCCACCTTTTATGTAAAATCTGGTCAATGATAGAAAACGTGAAGAGCTGAATTTATAGCAACACAAAGTGTCCTCCATAAACAAGGTGAAAGCAGGACCTACAGGCCTCTGTCCTTTATGTGAATGTACTGGAACATACTGTATATGCTCTCATCTATCCTATATGTATGTTTCTAACAAGAGACTTTAAAGCTCTAATAAAGAAATATTACACCTTCATGACACAGCTCTGTCTATAATGTTACAGGTGGCTCTGGCTTAGGAGGTAGCAGGTCATCCACAGCCAGAGGGTTCGATTCCCAGGTTCATCCCTCTCATATTTAATCAAGAAAATAACTGCAATTGGTATTAGTTATAATATGAATATATAAGATCACTTCCCTCACTTTTATAAGTTTACATACAGCAAGTGTGATGAACTTAAATTTATAGGAAATGTGTGTGTTTGTGTGTGTGTGTGTTAAGGTTAAGGTTAAGGTTAAGGTTAAGGTTAAGGTTAAGGTTAAGGTTAGGTTAAGGTTAAGGTTAAGGTTAGGTTTAGGTTAAGGTTAAGGTTAGGTTAAGGTTAAGGTTAAGGTTAAGGTTAAGGTTAGGATTAGGTTAAGGTTAAGGTTAAGGTTAGGTTTAGGTTAGGTTAAGGTTAAGGTTAAGGTTAAG